TTTTTGTTCTCCATCTCTACTATCTTTCTGCTCTTTCAGTGTAGTGGAGAATCTCTAAAATAGTGACCACTTCACAGTCATTGTAAATATTACAGGAAATTCAAAGATCTCAAGACAATCTCGCTTACTTTACGATAAAGCTGATTGGGATCTTTTTTAATCTTGTGCTGTGCTGACTGAAGAAATGGTAAACGATGTGGACATTAATACAGCAGTAAAAATGATCTCTGATACTATTGTACAAGCAGCTGAACTCTGTATTCCGAAGTCCTCGACAAAGTTCAGTAAACCCTGGTGGAACAATGATTGTCATAAAACTTCGAGAGAGAAAAAGAAAGCTTGGCGTATCTTTCGCCGTTGTCCTACACTGGAAAATCTTCTTGCCTTTAAAAAAGCTAAGGCGAATGCAAGAAAAGTGAGGCGGCAAAGTCAGAGAAAATCATGGGCAGACTACGTGTCCACTATTACCTCCTCAATGTCTAGCAAACAGGTTTGGGAAAGAGTCTGCAAAGCCTCTGGACTATGTAACGATTATTCCTTTTCTGTTCTAGAAAAAGATGGAAAGTTGATTAGCACTAGAGAAGAAATTGCTGATGCTTTAGGTGACACAGTTGCTGCTGTATCTAGCAGTAACAATTACTCAAAAGAATTTCTGCCCACAAAGATGCACTTGGAAAGGACTCAAATAGACTTTTCCCATTCTAATGCAGATTCTTATAATAAAGATCTCACCATGTTTGAATTAAGAAATGTAACATCTCGTACTGATAGGACCTGCCCTGGTCCTGATGGCATAAGATATTTGATGATAAAGCACCTACCCTATGAATCTCTAGTGGTCCTTCTTGCTCTTCATAATAAGGTATGGAAGGAGAAAATTTTTCCTACTGCCTGGTGCAGGGCCTTTGTTATCCCTATAGTAAAACCGGCAAGGACCCGAAAAATTCTTTAAATTATCGCCCCATCGCGTGCACTAGCTGCCTTTGCAAGATTATGAAAAAAAATCACCAATTATCTGGAGACTAATCATTGCCTATCGCCTTACCAAAGTGGTTTCCGTAAGGGAAGATCTTTACTTGATAATGCCCTGTTTTTAGAAACCACAGTACGCAATGCATTTGTGAAAAGAAATCATGTGGTTTCAATCTTCTTTGATATGGAAAAGGTGTATGATTGAACTTGGCAGCATGGAACTCTTCGTGACCTTTACAGCACTGGATTGCGAGGTAATTTACTCATCTTTATTCAAAACTTTTTTAAAGGACCGCACTTTCCAAGTCAAGATTGGTTCGTTGCTTTCTCAAGTATTTGTACAACAAGAAGGTGTACCACAAGTTTTCACTCTTTTTAGCCTGAAAATTAACTCCATTTTAAGAGAATTTCCTCCCACAGTGTATGGTTCCCTGTATGTTGATGATCTGATGATCTATTGTAAAGTTCAAGATATGAGATACATTGAGAGACAACTACAAATTGCTCTAAATAGAATCGTAAAGTGGTCCAACAACAATGGTTTTAAATTTTCTAGCCAGAAGACAGTCTGCATGCATTTCTGTCACAAAAAGAAATCTACATCCTTATCCAGAGCTGCATCTTGACGGCTCTTTGATCCGCATTGAACCAGAAGCAAAGTTCTTAGGAGTTATATTTGACAGAAAGCTCACTTTCCTTCCGCATATCATTAATCTAAAGGGAAAATATGCTTAAGCTCTCAACATACTGAAAGTCCTGGCCAATACTTCTTGGGGAGCAAAACATTGTTCTATGCTGCACATTTATAGAGCTTTAATCCATTCCAAACTTGACTATGGCTGTGTTATCTATGGATCAGCGAGACCTTCTGTGCTACTGAAATTGGATCTAGTCCACCATCAAGTGCTATGGATTTGCTGTGGACCCTTCAGAATATCTTCAGTCCAAAGTTTATATGTCATCTGTTTTGAACCATCTTTGGAATTCAGATGCAAGCAGTTGTCCATTAATCTTCATTATAAAGTAATGTCACAGGCTGAACATCCTATCCGACTCATGACATCTGATCAGTCTTTACCAAGCTCGTCCTTCATGTATCCCACCTTTTGATCTTCGCATTCACTCACTGATTGAAGAATTCAACCTAAATGATCTGCATCCCCAAAACTTTGACCTTTTCGGTATTGCTCCCTGGCAAGAAGTGAACATTCACCTTGCGTGAACATTTTTGAGAGACTTCAGAGAAGAGCAGTACAGGTGATGTCCAATCATCAACAAATTATTCCTAGAGCACAGAAGCAGACATTCTAACTACAAAGCAGATTTCTACTGATGGCTCAAAGAGTCATGATCATGTCGGGGCAGCTTTTGTTTGTGATAAAGAAATAAAGAGTAGTAAACTTCATAAAGCTGCATCTGTCTTTACTGCGGAAACTTTTGCCATTTTGAATTCCTTAATCTTTATCTCTAGGCAAAATAGCAAAAAGTTCATTATCTACTCTGACTCTGAGTGCTCTTGAATCAATAAATACAAATACCAGCCACCTTTTGGTCCTAGAAATTTTAAACTCATACCTCCATTTGAGAAATACAGGTTATTATATTGCGTACTGCTGGGTGCCTGGACATGCTGGCATCAAAGGCAATGAACTCGCCGATATCACTGCAAAATCTGCTGATATTACCTTAGAAAATGATGTCCCTTTTACAGACATGAATTACATCAGAGCAAAGATCTTGTGCAGGTGGCAAGAACTCTGGGAATGCTAAACTCTGAACAAATTAAGGCAGGTAAAACTCAATTTGGTGTACTGGTAGTCGAGAGGGAATCGGAAGGATGATGTACTACTGACTCGCCTACGAACTGGTCATTGCAGACTGACACATCAGTATCTCTTGAAAGGAGATAATGAACCTATTTGTGGCACTTGCAATGCTCCCGTTTCAGTCATTCACATTTTAGCCTGCTGTCCTGCTTTTAGTCAGAAACGTGAATTTTATTTTAACTACAAATGTTATCTTAACAGATCTCATTGGAAGAAACCCTCACATCAACCTCGTAAGATTTTTAAAAGACATCTCCTTTTACCATATGATTTGAACTACATTTTATCCCTCTCTACCTGTTGCTAGAACATTTCTCAGTCATTTCTCCATGCCTTCGTCTCATTGGAAGAAACCCCCACATCAACCTCATAAGTTTTTTAAAAGACATCCCTTTTTACCATATGATTTGAAGTTATTTCCCTTTTATCCTAATCTACCTGTTGCTAGAATGCTGGACATTTCAAGTCATTTCTTCATGCCTTCATCAGCATCTCAGGTCCATTTCATCAATTCACTTGATACAGTGTGTTTTGCATCTTGAATTTTTTTCACCATTTGTCTGGCGCATAATACTCTTGAGGTTTTGTGCCATTTAAAAAATCAACCAACCAACCAAGAGATACTACAATTTTACATATAACTTCACTAATATTATTTATGTGCATACAAAATTCATAACATTGGCCTCTACCCAAGGACTGCATGTTCCAGGCATTAAAGTCCCTAGACGGGAAGCCATACTTGCAACTAAAGAAAATTGATTTAATATTGAAATAATAATTTAAATATACATAGAACCATGGGGCTAACTATGGGGACTAACTATGGGTCTACTCTCTTTTTGATCTATTGCTAGAGAACAGAAACTCTTTCTTGAATTTATTTATCTTTAGCTGTGTCAATTCTGCCTTCCATAGCTTTGAAATTGTTTTCTATTATGGCAGAAACTTCTCTTTTCATTTCCTCTTAACTTGTTTCAATCCTTTCTTGACTCAGTTTCATTTCCTCTTTAACACGGTTGATAACCTCTTTTGTCTTTCTTGAACTGCTGTCATCTCTTAACATACTATTGGCCCATTTTCATTTCTTCTTTATATCCAGCAAAGGCTGTTAACAGTTGTCTTGGTTATTTCTCTATTGCTCTTGTTCCTCAGTATTCAATCTCATTTCTGACACCAAAAATTGTTACAAACATAGGTTTTTTGTAATGGATTGAATGCAGACAGAACCGATGATAGTTTTATTAAAAAAAAAAAAAAAATCTCAAAAGAAACACTTTACAGTTCTGTAACTCTCCACAAGTCCTCATACAGCTTTTCTTAGTATGACAGAGCACAATCAATAGTTACGACTTAAAACTACTAACAGTGTTAAACACAAGTGAGTGTAAAATTAATCTAAAGATCAAAGCTCACATGGAAATCTCTCAGTATTCTTAAGTAAACTGAGAAACTGATGCTCTCTGTGGTCTTATATAATATTACCCTGCCCACCAAAAAATTGCCTAATGGCATATGCAGTTACAGTTTCATATAGGGGCAAATATAGTTACATAGGAATTGGATTAATTACAGTTATACAGAAACAAGATAAAAGTATTCCCAACTGATCATCAAGTTTGGCGATAATTGACAATTTCTCACTGAATTTAGCTATAAAATCTAGTTGCTAAAACTATTGCCACATTGGTGTTTATTTACCTCAGTGTTAAATGGTCTTGTATACTATGTAATCTTATTTTTCTGGCTGAGCTTTGTTTTCTTGAGACATTTCATGTTACATTGTACAAGAGATACTACAATTCTGCATGTAGTTTCACTAAAATTATTTACATATGTGCAAAATTCATAACAATATATTGTTATATTTATTTTAAATTCCATTCCTTTAATGTTAAATTTATCTAGTTTTTCAATCATATCTACTTTTTACCAGATAAGATGTATTAATGAAATTTGCCTAAATTGGTTTATTAAATCCAAGCTGTGACTGAAATACATTAATATAGCATATGCTGTATACATTACATTATGTACCAATTATATAGCTTTAAATACAAGTCACACTGAATATATATATACACAATTTTAATTTAAGTTCTTTTTTCTAGTTTTTAATTTAGTAGAATTTTTGCTACTAGTTCAATCTTCCAAACCATATATTTATAACTTATAATAAATGTATTATTATTATTTTTTTAGACAAATGTTTCTGTGAAGAGAATTAACAAGTATATGAACAGTGAAGAACTTGAAAAATATGTTTTGCATGATTCATCTTTAGGTAAATATAATCTTACTGTGAAATTGTTGGTCCACTAAATTATTGATATTAATTTTCTTATGTATTTATTAGTTATTTTCAGTTGCTAACATGTGAATTTATATTTAAATATATTTTCACTCATATATCTATTGTCAGTTCTTAAGTTATTTTTTATTTGTTATACGACGATAAGCTTTTAAGAAAATGTATATTGATACAAAAATCATCTTACAGTGATCATAAAAGAAAGTAATTTTTTGCATATTTTCCTCGAGGCATCATATCATTTTATCTTATAGTCATCTTCATAATCTGAATGGTAGTATAATAATCTAAATAGAAGCAATTACTAATGAAGACTTCTGTCTTCTAGCTCATTCCATTGCAGTTCGTAATGGATATTTTTCATGGAGCAAACCAAGAAATGAAGAACAGAAAAAGAACCCTAAACCAACTCTGAAAAATATAAATCTGACTGTTGAAAAAGGTTCTTTGATTGCAATAGTAGGCAAAGTTGGATCAGGAAAGTCTTCTTTGTTATCTGCAATTTTGGGAGATATGGAGAAAATCAGTGGATCTGTTTCAATAAATGTAAGTGCATTACCCCACATATTAGTATTAACTTTGTTTTCTTAATTAAAATTTTGTACCTAATATAAAGTGGCATGTGCAATATGTTAGCATCATTATCTTTTTTCCCAAATTTTTGCCCCTTATGGGTCTGGAGACAGATGTAAAATCATAACATTAATTTTTCATTGTACTTATTGTTTAATTTGATTATAGATAATTATTTATTATATATATTGGGTTTTAACAAAAGTGTCCCACCACCACAAATACTATCTGCACAAACACTTCATATTGGCATGTTTAATCATATTTTGTCAAACCATTTTTTGCATTGGAAAGAAAGGGACTTGCTTTAGAACACTGTGTTCTGAAATTTGTAAAAAAATATCGTTAGCAATAAGTACAAGGTGTCTAAAATGGAACTATCATGCTACTAGATTAGAAACATAATTTACTTCTAGTTATGTTGCAAAAAGTCAGTTACAGAATGTCACCAAATTATGTATACAGCTTTAGGTACTAATGTTGTATCATATGACACTGTAAAGGTTTGGTAGCAAAATTTCAAAAACAAGGACTACTCATTCAAAAAGCAGAATGCTCTGGCCCACCTACTGATGTTGATGAGGTCCACCTGCGAGAACTTATGGAAGGAGATCAGTATCAGAGTTCGTACGGTCCTTAAGAGTCCTTAAAATACTTAAGGTTTTCTGGAATCAGTTTTTGGTCCTTAAAAGTCCTTAATTTTGGCCCAAACCAGCAGAATGTTCATAGTTTTAATCATCTGAAATTCCTGTCTGTTTTTACGACTGCCATTTTGAGTGTGAATTAGCATTTTGGAGGAATATTATTTGGCGATTCACAGACATATATGGTTATCTTTTGATTGGGTTCATGAGTTATAATTTGTTTCTGTTTCTAATATAAATGATCGGATACTCGAGTTACTAAGCAAGAAGTCATACATAAGCATTTCAAAATTCATTTTTTCTAATAAAGAGCTCTTGAACAACTTTTTGCTTTTGGGGATGGGAATTCTTTTATTAAACGGCTCTAAATTTGGCGACTTATCAACATGCTGTTGATTTTAAAATCAATTTCTGTAGAGAATTTTTAATTCTGAGATCTGGGAAGTTTTGATGATTTTTTAAAAACATTGTAACATTGATAAATTTCATTAAAATAATGGTTGTATATTGAAATTATATTTAAAAAATAACGTTAATATGAAACATTTTTATTATTTGCTGTCATATTATAAAGTTCCATTTTGCCAACTTATTATACAGTATTTTGAATCTGAAAAATAACAAGGTGTAATGCTATAGAGCAAAATTTATAAAACAGCTTTTGGCAAAAGCAAAATTAGCTATGTAATTAATTAAAAATGTCTTCTTTTTAACCCTTTAACTGTCAAGTTATTTTGATGATTTGGGTACACAAATTGTCAAATTTTTTTTATTGCAAAAACCAAATGTTTAGTACAAAATAAAATACTTAAGTAGTTTAAAAATTGATATTTTGCGTACAATGGGTAAAATTTTTAAAGTTTTGTAGCCACTGCATATTTGCTTTGAGGCGGCTGCCACTCAACATGGCAGTTGCAAAGTTCGCTTCTAGTGGAGCATTATTTTCTAAAAATGAAAAAAATTTATTATTTCTTCTAAAACATAAATAAATATAAGTGAATACCTATTAGTAGTTCAGTAATTCAGTCTTGTGTGGTACAACTGGAAACACTTTTCCAAGCACAAACCCAACTCCACAATCACTACACCAGAATCGTGATTCCTTCCTTATCTTTTCCCCATTTTATCCTTTTCGAACAACACACTTTGCAACTGTCCTTGTAGGCTCACGTTTCGCAGGAGTAAGAGGAAAATGGGATATAAAATGTCGTTCAGTAAGACGGGCAGGGTTATCTATTGTAGGTGGTCTGCCAACGTTCTTTTGTTCAGAAGCTGAATCATCATATTTATGTAAAAGCTCTTCTACATCTTGGATTCGAATTCTAAAAATGTAATATGTTTCCCAACTACATTTTTATAGAGCAAATATGAGTTCCATGTACCTTGTCTAGTAAATGTAAAAATATCTTTTATAATATTTTTTTCTGACGTTTTTCAGATTGTTGGATGAAGGGATTTCCTGATCACAGCGATCTACACCACCCATAGTTAGACCGTAATTAGAAACAATCTTCGGCTTGAGTATATCTCCATTTTTTATTTTTTGAGGCTGACATGGAAGTATCATAAATACTGCTCCATCAAACACACATCCTTCACCTTCGGTTGAAGAATCTAATCATCTATATAACGTTCAAAGAACTGGAGGCTATTTTACAACAAAAAGACCCCATGCACTTTGAACCAATTACCTCTAACCTTTGAAATCTTCAGTAATAGTGCTGTCATCTATTGAACTGAGCGCAAATTAACTTTTCCCGAGATACAGACGGGTTTGACAAAGAGATGAAGCTGAAATAAATGTCTCCTGATATATATTCGGGTATAACAATATGATGCACTCAAAAAAAAAATTACCCCGAGTAATACTCGGGCGTGACATTTTCGAATACCAGTGCTGTACCCGAGATTTATCTCAGGCATGACAGTTAAAAGGTTAATTATTTCATAGTAAGAATTTTTCTCATGTAATTGTCTCAGATTATTCAAAATTCTCAGAATATGAATCAGTTTTCTCTATAAAATTAATTTTACACTTTTCCCCTCTTCCTTTTTTTTTTTTTCCAAAATATATTTCTGGCTTTTTGCTGTTACAGAACTGGTAGGGATAATTTTTCTTTAGGATTTCAGACATTGCAGCTTGGAAAGTTTAGAAGAATTTGAAGGCAAGATTTATAGACCCACGATTCTAGAAGATTCGAGAAATATGTGACAAAATTAAAAATGTCTCCATGGTATCAACACGCAATGGACATATTTTACAGAAAGTTTGCGATGAATTTCTTACTTTTTGGAAAACATCTGAGAAAACAATGAAAACATAATATTTGAATTTTTTCTGATACTAGAATCTTTTTCTTAACATGTTCATCTTCCCTTTATTTTCTTTACTTTTCACTAGACACAAGCATGAAAAAATATCAAAAATGCTTCTGATCTTATCACATGGACAGGCATTATAGAAAGGGATTTCTTAATTAATAAAAAAATTGAAAACTGAGAATTTAAAAAATTCGTCTAATATGTCGTAATGCATCATACACAGAGCTGGCTCTAGGCATTTTCCCACCTGATGCAATCTCTATGGATCTTAAATTTTGCTGCCTAGTGCCTTTCTAAATTCTGCTTCCAATGTCTGCTATAAATTCTAAAAGTTTTGCTAAAAGCGTCTTCAAAATCAAAATTCGAAACTTTAAGGCTTTACTTGTTTAAGAAATCTTGTATACGGTGGGAGCTTGATGAATCAAATTGATCAAAACAATTTTATTAAATTATATTACTTCCGCTATAGCGGCCATGAAACATAATCAAGCATCAAATAATATGACATGCGTCATTCTTCATGTTCAAGCGTCAAGTGAATATTTTTCATCGGCGCGCGTCAAGAGCGCCACCTATCTACCAAAAAGACGGAACATACTCTGCCCCGATGAACATTGGTTCATTACAACATTATTATAAAGATCTTCAATTTTAGATTCAAACAAGTTTTCCAAAGTTCAACAGTATATCATATAAAATAAAAATGCATAATGACAAATTTAAATTGAATAACAACATTAAATTTAGCACAAAATTTTACAAATAAAACATACTTACAATCTCTAGAAGGAAAACAAAATAATGAAACTGCTAAATTACCATAATCCACAATTGTGGTCCATTCTCTGAATCTGAAACATAATTGAATTAATAATAATAAAGACACAAATTATGAATATACAATTAATGTTTTTTTTTTTAGAGTCTTATTCACTCAATGGTAAGCGGGAAAGTTTATGTATAGGACGCTTCATTTCGCCCAATAAAGTTTTTAGTTTCACAACACGAACTTTTCCATCAGCACCAGGATATAGTTCAATTACTCGTCCAAGTCGCCACTTTAATGGAGGCAAATTTTCGTCCTTTATCAAGACTAAGTCATTGAGGGCTAAATTTGGTTTATCCCTCAACCATTTGGTACGCCCTTGTAATTGTGAAAGATAATCTCTAGACCAACGTTTCCAAAAGCTCTGGAAAATTTGCTGTGTCAATTTCCATCTTTCAGCAGGGGTTAGCTTATTATTTGTAAGATCAGGTTCAGGAATTGCTGTTAATGTAGTCCCAATTAGGAAATGTCCAGGTGTTAAAGGATTAAAATCTTCAGGGTCAGATGAGATGGAAACTATTGGCCTGGAATTCAAACACGCCTCGATCTGTGTAATTAAGGTGTGAAATTCTTCGTATGTCAGAACCTGGGTCCCAATAGTCCGCTTTAAGTGAATCTTCATTTGTTTCACTCCAGCCTCCCAAAGGCCTCCAAAGTGAGGGGCAGCAGGAGGATTGAAGATCCATTGAATATTTTCACCGCTCAGGTAGTTTTGAAATGCTTCGTCAGAGGAAAGTGTAGCTATGTATCTTCTTAATTCTCGATCAGCCCCAACAAAGTTGGTTCCTCTATCGGAAAAGATTTTCTTGGGTTTTCCTCTGCGTGACACAAATCTTTTCAGAGATGCTAGGAATGCTTCAGTTGTTAGATCACTGACTACTTCTAGGTGAATGGCCTTTGTGGTGAAGCATATGTAAAGGCAAACGTAACATTTATATCTCGTTCCTCCTCCTTTCCTTTCCTAGCTTTAATTAAAAAGGGGCCTGCAAAATCTAGTCCTGTATTCGAGAATGTTCTATCCGGCAATACGCGAGAAGCAGGTAGGTCGCCCATTATCTGACTGGATGTGCTTGTTCGATTTTTAAAAACATTTTATACATTTCCAAATTATTTTTCTTACAATTTCTCGGCCATTAACGATCCAATATTTCTGTCGCAGAGCAGATAATGTTAATGTGGCT